TTTCTTCTTTCAATTGATACGTATGGAAAACTACGTTTGCAATTTTTAAAATACTAGATAAGTTTCGAAATTGTTCAATTGTGCTGCAAAAATTTTGAAGTTATTATTTGCCAAACTTCTTAGAAATATTGTTTGCGTGGAATGATCTTGTTAATTGCTTCTTTCATGTCGTTTATTTTGTCGACGCTATACACATAAATAGGAGGAGGTTTGTTTACAATCGTTTGAACTGGACTGTCATTGTCCATGTTGAGATGATGATAAAGCCGTGAATCGGTTTTTTGTTATGGTAATTGATTCTAATGGTTTCGGTTGCTAATTACCTGCAAAGAAACGCCGGTTGTGTTCAGTATTGCTGCATTGTTTTGCTGAGAGTTATTGCTAGATGTACTTGCAGTTTGTAATGCGCTGGTGCTCGGAACTGGGCTACTTGGAGTATTAATTGTTTCATTTTCATTAAATGTATCCATATTGTTGAGGACATTAAATGTTTGTACTATAAGACCGTTGGTCTCTCGGTCCCCACCGACGGGGGACATTTCACTGAAACTTATACCTAATAAAAGGTTTTGTTTACACTTTGTCACAAAATTATTTCAGATAAATACTGATTTAATTTCACTTTAAATATCGAATGTTTTGCTTTGCTCCGATGTTATCGGTACCGTGTCCGAAGACTGAATCCGTTCAAAGAAGTGTCAAAGAATTTATTGCTTAAAAACCCAAAATGAATATGACCACACTAATAAATAAAATGTTTATTTATTACTCTTATGTAAAATGAAACGGATTTAAAGTACCTTAAATGTTTTATAAAAACATATTCAACAAATAAAGTATGATTATTTCAAATAATAATACTCATCAATTTCAATATATTAGTATTTTGCGTTTACTATATTTCGATTCTTTTTTACGCAAAATACTAATATATAGAAATTGATGAATATTATTATTTCAAATAATTATATTCGATTCTTTTTTACGCAAAATTCTAATATATAGAAATTGATGAATATTATTATTTGAAACAATTATATTTCGATTCTTTTTTAACGCAAAATACTCATGTATTGAAATTTTTAATATCAACATGCAAACATATGGTTTGAGTTTCTCGGAACCATTTAAACTTTAAATCCCATCGCTCCGAAGGGATGTTTCTCTACAAATGTCGAAATATTATCTTGACCGTCATTAAACTGAATGTTTATTGCTTTCCAAAGAGCTTCATATTGCAATTTTTAAAGTTGCATACTCGCTAAAATAATAATAAAAATATTCAACAATTATAAAATATTATTTTACTTAAAAATATTTAATACTTAAAATACTTAAAAGTGTTGCTTTTTGAATATAATATCAGAATATTATATTGTTTTAATCAAAAATACTCAACTATTATAACTTGTCTTTTTTTTAAATAAAATATAGATTATGAAATTAGTATTGAAAAATTACTGTTAAAATTTTACAATATTGAAAATGATTCTGATTTAACACATCAGATACAAGCAATAGAATTCATTCTAATATTGTGAAATGATATTTAATGAGTTTTAGATCTTTCTTGCACTTATGTTTGATTTTTATGAAAAGTACTCAAAATTCGATATTGAGTACTATCGATACTTTCGCCACGATATTTTTTTTGCATCGATATTTTGATTAGATACTTTTAAAGTACTCAATATCGATCTTGTGCCTCGATACTTCTAACACTACAAGTAACTCGTTTCATTACTTTATTACTGATTTTGATTACGTAAGTAGTTGATCTCGAAAATAGCAAAATTATATCCAGTTAGTTCGTTAAGTTTTGAATATTTTGTTCATAGTTTGGAGGATTGGTAATTTCTGAGCTGTTTTGGTTTAAAAGTATTTCTGATAGTTTTATTCATCATCATCACAAGTTAGAAAGCCATCCCAATTCACTTGTTGCTCCGCTGCTTCTTGCGCCATGATTTAGAAGACTTTAAAAATTATGGCTTATTAATTTAATCCAATGAGTTGTATCAAATAGTAATTACCCACTGGGGTAAATACTATATGTTATCATAAGTAAATAATATTAATCAAAATAATTTATAGAATGTTTTTTATTTTCTGATGATTATTAATAAAACAGAAAAATGTAGTTTTATTCCATTGCCTCTTCAATAATACATCAGATCTGTTCTAGTTCTTTGACTTTTTAGATTTTTTTTCATAAATAATAAACAAAAACAGGAACTTAATTCGCATTCCTTTTTCCATTAATATGTCCCATGATGATTCGAGATTTGCCTATAGGCAAGTTGCTAATTGGTTTCAACTTGAAACTTTCAAGTAATAGTTACCTGTATAAGGATCGGTATCTGCAATAAGGTGGCTGGACAAATCATTAAAATTGCAAATAGTGCTAAATTTGTCTTTTTGTTGATACCTTCACATTTCAATAGTTGATTTTGGAACATTTGGATATTTTCGCGCTTGTGTGTGTGTGTATGTGTGTATTGATGTATATGAAATCAAAACAATAGTTTAGGAAAGGTCTGGATGTGCCCGTTTGGTACATATTTTGTACAAAATGCGTAATAATATATGTAAAATAATAATTCCTACATAATTTTCAAAACTTACACTTTGTACACTCACAACGATTTACAATTTTATTAAAAAACAAACCTTTCCTACCAAAAAATATTATTTTATCTTCTAGCGGCATCTATTTTTAACTCTGCCCTATTCCTTCTCATTCCTATTTGATATTTCATGACTCACCAAGTTGGGTAAGCGGAACAAGTTGGAACTGTTAACACATAGTCCTATTTTAGATTTTAAATCATAATACACTGATGATGAGACAAACCTAGCCTCGGAACGTTGGTAAAATTAATGTTATTTGATAAACTAGTGCAAAAAAGTGCTATTTGTTCATATTTTTAAATTTATATATATACATATATATGTATATCCCCAGTAGAAATGTATCGGGTCCAGAGGGGTAAAAATTCGTGGCGCAATATTCTAATCCTGTTTTTAGATGAACCGGACAATATTTCTTTTCAAACTTATGGAAAATTTGGAAAATTCATGGGAGAACTGTTATATATGGTTTATTACAAATAAATAATATGAATCCCATTTGATTTACACGTCTATATTTATATTTACACAAATTATACATAAATTTTTTATTGTTTTGCCTGGTGGGGTATGTATAATTTTTACATTTCATTTTATCTTTTAATCAAATTCAAAAAAACAATTTACAAATAATCATCAATAAAGCGATAAAAATCACATACAATCTTCATTTAATATACAATCCTTATTTAACACCCATCAAAGATACACATAATAAAACAATTGAGATTATTTAAATAATCTTTCATTGAATAAAATAATAAAAATTGAAAAATTTAAATAAATATACAAAGTTAAACATAACAGAACCAATACGAGGGCTGCAATAAATATAAATAAGGATATATATGAGCATTATACAAGGCAACACAAAAAAATCCACAAAGATCACAACAGGAAAAGCTTCCGAAAGATATAAAGAAAACTAGTAAACAATATAAATTCTAGACTGATAGTAAATATCAGATAAAAAAATGTTATACAGAAAATGAAAATGGTTCATTTAGACAAATGTCAATGTATCAAACTAATGAGTATGAATGAGGACTGAATGCAAATTTAATGTGGTGAGTGGTGAAATAAATCAAAATTGAAGTGGAGGAGAATGAAACCCGTCTGACTTTATTATGTTAATAAAGGGGTAAAAATAAAATACATTAAAAATGTCTTCTAATAATTAGCGGTATGAGTCTACAAAACACAATAAATTTAGGATTCGAAATGTTATTGTACAAAAGAAATTAATATTAATTAATATCGGTAGTTAATAGAAGTATTTGAAATCTAATCTAAATATTAGTCAATTAACGATAGATTGTCATGTGTTTTAAAATCAGGTAAAATCCTTGTTAATAGAATGTGATGAATTTTGTAACATAATATTGTAGTAACTTGTTCAGAATATATTTCAGTTTGAGGTTTTTCAAATTATTATTAAAGCATTACAATTTCATTGCTAGGTTAAAGAAATTTTTAGCCAAATGTACTGTATTATAACTCGGTAACAACAATCAATAGAACGACTACTATAAATATACTATAAACCATGCATACATATATAAAAATAAAGTATAAGTATATATTTATCTCAAAAATTTATTTCTTTCAATACATTGAGTGTACAGATTAAATCATCTAATTAATATGAGATTTTGCTTAGATTATGCTCAATTATGATTTTTAATTCATAGTATATACAATATTTAGAACTTATGTGTTAGACCTTAGTCAGCATAACCAGCCGTGGGAATTGAAACAATTCTGGTGCACATTCCCCTGGATCTCTGTAAGTATAATTATATTGATGATGACATATACATATGTATTATATATATATATATACATATATATATATATATACATATATATATACAGGGCCGGCCCTGGGGTCCTCAGCGCCCGCATGAAAGAAAATATATAAATATTTACTTTATTTTTTTAAATTATAATTAAAGTAAAGTAAATAAATAAAGTAAAATAAATAGTTATAATTATTAATCATTCTGGATTTTTGTACACACACTTTAGTACACAAAAAATTAGATATAATCTAAAAGCGTATAAAATACATTGATTTTAAATTTATTTAAAAAACCGTTCGCGGGTTGATCATAATCAAATATTTTTAAATTCTCAATTACTTCTAACGTAGGTGAAATATTAATATTTGTGATTTTGAAACATTTAACTTATTTATTATGCGATTTATTCTAAAGAGCTATCACGACAAAAGAGCAAAAAAGACATAACACTCGTATTTCATGTTTTAAATTAAATTTTATTTTAGTTTATTTTTTCATTCTTTACAATATCTAAAATTGAATTAAACTTCTCCTTATTGGTATCGCAAGGGCCGAATTGTATTCAGCTTTACTTTCCCATCATATTCAGAGTATCAGATTGTTATTTTAAAGTTAAACTTTTTAAAGTGTTAGTAAAGATTAGTAAAAGATGCAAAGAAATTACATATTTCCTTAACTATACTGAAACAAACAAATTATATTTGTATCTGTATTATTTCTGCATAGTTAATAATTAAATTATTATGTATAAACACATCTTAAAGATTTTTGTTCCTAAGTACATCTTGCTTTCATTTTTCATATTTGCTCCATAAACCTAACCACGCATGTCTTCAACGTTCAAAGTTCATCAGATGTGATATGTTTGCAACAAAAAACAAAAATTAAAATACAATTTTTCGGAATAAACAAGCCATTTTTTGAGCACTGACTCCCCATTTTCCATTTTCTCTATTATAATTAGTATATATTTCTTCAACAAGTTCCATTTTAACTAAGTCAGCTTGCTATTTTTCATCAATAACGCTCAATAATTAATTTAAACTTTCGTAGGTTTGCTCTTACGGGATTGAACACTAAATATTTTCTTTTTCGATTCCTTGTTAACTTCAAACAAAGAAAAAATTTTAAGGGTACATTAAACAATAAGCAGAACAATAATTTACAAATTTGCAGAGTTATTATTTGGTTAATTGTATCTATTGATATCACATTGCAAACTGAATATGCGTTTTATGACTCATAGTTAAGTTGGATTGTTTATCATAATCTATTAAGCATTCAGGATTTAATATTTTGCATTTTTTGCATGTATTGCATTCAAGGCAGGACCGGCCCTGTATATATATAATATATATATATATATATATATATATATATATATACAGTAGAACTCCAATTATCCGAACTCCGACTATCCGAACTCCGACTATATATATATAATATAAGGGTGGTCCTTAACAAGGACATTTCTTTGATCCCAAGGGCGCCAATACTTCGAAATTAATAAAAAATGAATCTCTAATAGTATTAGCTCTTAATATAAACATTTAGATAGAGCGCACGCCAATTGGAAGTTTCTTATATTTGTTATTAACATACGTCATTAAGTAAATTCTTGCGCCATCTGTACGTGAACTCATATATTACACATAAGAATATTTATAAACCACTTAACCTCTAATTAAATCAATGTGGGCTGTTCTATAATATTTATTCATCAGAGAATCAAAATAATAATTTGAGTTTCAACATCACCAATTAAATAAATATTTTGCTGCAAAATTAATCTTGATTCCATGATGAATAAATATTGTAGAACAGCCCACATGGACTTAACTATTCTAATTTTTGCAAACATTGAAAAGTTTTTAAAATTAAAGACAAGTCGTAGGGCCGTAAAAAAAATCGAAAAAAATGTCTTTAACACTTTATTACAAAAAAACGGCCCGGCCAATCTTTACCAAAAACTAATCAGCACGATTCCCAACGAATATCTTTCGAAAAGTTTTTGAATTTTCAAAATCGATTCAGAATTGCGGGCTAAAACGTGTCGACGAAAAATGTTTCACTTTTCTGCGATTTACAAAGAACGATAGTCCTCATCGAGATACATCGAATACTTGTTTATCTATGGAATAGCTTTTAAATTTTTGAAACCGGTCCAGCCTGTATTGAGAAAATGTCGATTTACGGCAAAAAATCTATTAACATACTCACACACACATACACGTACATACCTACTTTTTCCAAATTTGGTCTCATTCGATTCAGAATGGCTTGAAACGTCGGGAAAACATAAAATTAGCGAATCGGATTTTTTTATGAAAACATAAACTTGTCCTTTGGGAAGTTAATATAACAAAATAACAATATTAGAAATAATAAAATAATAATAATATTAATGTTAGTGTTTACAAATGACTATTTATATTTAAGATCACTCATATTGATGTATATACATTTCGGTATATATTGTAGTGTAAAACACATTAATTTTTAACTAATTGCTAAATATCAGTATAGGTTATATAAATTGGAACTTTTGAGTTGTAGACATGGGTACAGGGTACAGGACAACGTCTGTCAGTTCATCTCCAAAAATATTGATTTATTGACTGCCCGTAGGGTAAGTTATAGTAATTGCAAAAAAAATCGAAAATGAAATATTTTGCAGATATTTACGTTTCAGCGGTTTCTGAACATTTTGGTATAAATTAAAAGCTAGTTAGTTTTTGGCACAGGCCGTTCCAAAGATATGAGGAAAAATGTGCCAAAAACGTTTACTAAGAGAACTCAAGAGAACGAATTGTCCAATTTTAATCATTCAAAAACATTTTATTTGTATTGACAAGATAAAAAACCGATTAAATTTTAGAGAAGACAGGACTAGCAGTTGCGAATCTCTAGTAAAAGAATAAAAAAAAAGCCATTTGGCGATAAAATTAACATTAGACAAATGCACATCAGAATGTCAGATATTTTATGAAGATTTTAATAATGTGTATCAATTTTGTTTACATTTTTATGGGTTCCGTAACATCATTTGTCGATTCGACCGCGACACGCGACTTCGATACTTAGTCTCTATGCAGCTAAAGCAGTGCGATTGCTTTGAAAAAAAGTTCAAACCTTCCAAAAAACTTAAAATAATTTTTTTCCCCAATGTATTTTTTCCAAAAAAACATTTTTTTTCAAAAATTAAAAATTTCTCAAAAATCTGATTCTTTCTTTAATTTGTGGTACGGGAAGTTCCAGCAATTTGTCTTAAGGCACGATGCCATCCGCCACTAGGGCCATGAAAGCATTATAAAAAGTAACAAACAATGTTTATAACAATATTTATCATTTTGCGATAAAATAAACAACTGCGGTGGTAAGAGATTCATTGGTACATACCTGTAGAAAGGTTCCTATGTAAGTGTCAGCACTTTTGTAAAATTCAGGATTCAATGATATTAGAATGATTTGAACATCATTCTTACATCGATTAATATAGTCAGCCACTAAAACACTATTAAACTTATCCAAAGCTGAATCTACTTCATCCAGTAGCAGAAAAGGTGATGGTTTATAACTAAAAATAAACAAAACTGTGTATAATGTGTTTAGACAAATTCAATAATCTAATTATATATATATATATATATATATATATATATATATATATACTAGATGACCCAACGGACGTCCTGTACCCAAATTTACGTTTTTTCAGTATCATATACTAATATTTACCATTCAGTTGAAAGTAATAATTATTGTTTTTCGATTTACTATTTACACGAATACACGAGTGATGTTAAATGTAAAACTGCTTCAAATAAAATGATGATTCTCAATTCCCACAGTTAACACTTTATCCCGTTAGCAAATATTAAAATATGTTTAATAAAGTTATATATTAAAAATTATACACCGAGGGTAATACAATTTTTTAGTCATACCTGTAGATGTGGATGTATAAATAAATAATTTTTTGTTTATTCACGACTAAAACATTGATTTTCCACGGTAAAGGTATAATATCATCTTGGATTTTTCTACCCAAAATAATTGCTTCAATAATGTTGCCTAGAATTTTTATAAAAGTCGTGCCATATTTTAACTGGCTTTTAGTAATTTTAATATCTAAATTACATTTTTCTCACTAATAATTCAATAGACATTTTTACTTAAGTTTATATTTGAAGTGAATTAATTTGTCAAATCCTGTTCACATGTGCTCTATTCAACCTACGATCAACAAAATTATTGCAGTAAATGAAGGGGAAGAAAGCGTGTGTCGGAAATAGGCTAATCCTAATCTTAAGTTCAGAAGTGAAAACAATTTGCACTCCTTCACCACCCCCGGCATTAATTGGATTATAACTCATTTAAATCTGATGTTATCAGAATTTGTAATATACTATTTTAAAGGTAATTAAATGACCTACAACTTTCTCTATCATAAATTTTACCATAACTTCTCTTATTTTGAAAAGACCTTGAATTTTCATCTATATACCTTCATCCGTATCTTTTATTCTTTCAGATATATAATATTGAGAAATTGTTTGCTTTTTTAAATAATTTTTTTTTCATGAAATCATGAACTTCTTGGAAATCGTTTGTGTTAGAGTTGTGGTATTTTCTAGAATCCGTCAAGATCTCTTAAACCAAGTTAATTCTAGAGGGCATACAATTATTTTTAATTTTGATAGAAATGACACTCATAAACTATTTGATTTAAATGAAAAAAACATTGTATACGTTTTTTATCTGCATGATAGCTCACTCATTTTACACGCAGAAATCCTCATTTTAAAGCTTATTTTGAGTACTATAAAATTCCATTTTCATATCTAGCCTAATATTGTTTCTAGAACAGTTTATAAAACACCGATTTATTAGAATTTTAATTGATATAATTTTGTTCATTACATGATTTCCGTTAAAATGAAAATTTTTAGAAATGTGTGCAAAAAACGATGAAAAACGCCAAAAATACAAATTTTTAGTAGCCAGTAACTTGAAAAGTAATTTCTTTTTTGTAAAACATTATTAAACATTTTTTTCTTCTAATTAGTTCTTTTATCGATATGCGACGTTATTTTGAAAGAGATACAATTGCACGACTGAAAAGAGATGTCATCCGCCCGGGAAGTGGCAAAGGAGTCTAAATTATTTTCACTTTTTAACTTGAGAGAAAGATGAACCCAATTCCAAAATTTCATGCAAATCGGAGCACATTAAACATATTCAGAACCAAAACGCTCACTTGACTTGAGTAAATATTTCGTATCCAATGCTAAACATATGAATTTTTGAGACAATGAAACTTCTAGATAATTGTTCGAGTAAGTAAATTATTTTTGTATAGTGATTTACTATACGACTGCATTTAAAAGTTAAAAAAATTCCCTTTTCCTTCTCTTTTCTATTTGATATTTCGTGACTCATCTAGTTGACCTTGATAGAAAATTCAGATTCCGACGATCGTTGGTGGGGCAGTATAATGAAAGTGAAACTTAACATCATGCTGTCTGATGCCGGGTATGGACCGAGTTCGCGATAAACTTCGGAACTAGCGTTGACGGACCACAGCTGGCCTGGTATTATCAAGAATTATTACTTATTCAATAATATTTCTTACCTTCTCATAGCGAATAGAAACGCCAATGAAGCAACTGTCTTTTCTCCGCCCGAAAGGTGATTCATTGTCCTAAAACGCTTTCCAGGTGGTACACAAGAAAATATGACACCTCCGAGATAAGGCTCCTCTATGTTCTCAATTGAAAGCGTTGCTTGTGCTCCGCTACATTTTGTTAATGACTAAAATATATTAATACACATAAATAAAAATATACAAAATATCACATAAGTCATATTATATTATGAGTTTTAGAACCTTGTAAACACTGTCGATGGATCCTTGAACTTTATTAAAGCATTCATCGAACATTTCCTTCCGACGTTTCTTAACATTTATTAAATTTATATTTACCGACGTCATCTCATCTTTTATATCTTTAAAAGTTTCCTTACAGATCTTTAATTTATCATTAGCTTCCTTTAAGCGCCTTGTTATCTTAATGTAAGAAAGAAAAAGAATATTATTAATGAAATGATATAATCATATAGATGTTAAACAGAATGCACCATACCCCTTCTTTGCAAGAGAAACTCGCGCTTGCTTCAGCTTCCAATTCAATAATTTTCTCTGTTTCATTTTTAATGTGAACTTCTGAACTTATTGCTTCTGACTTCAAATTATCCGGTAAATTTGAAAAATCTATCTGAATGCTAGATGAAACAAAAAATTGTTATTAATTCTATAAAGATGTTAGTAACAAAGCCAAATAGTTTTTTAATGATATTACTATTTATACAATATTTATGATAATACAGACATACAAAATTTATTATTGTAATAGTGTAGTAACAGGCAGATTTCAATAAGATGTTGAACGATATTACAACATTTCTGTGTTTTGACAAACGAAAAATGAACTAGTTGTGCGTGGCATCGTGCCTTAAGGCTAACTGAATTGATTATGGAGATGTATTACTGGAAATGAGCCCCAAGTCCAAAGACAGTACAGCCTTTGCAGCCGCGATAAGGGCAGCAGCTGAAAACATAGGAACAGTGAAAACATTGCGCCGCTGATGACGATATAGATTCTTGACCTTGGTGGAGTCTCTAACGAAAATGACGTTAGCAAAGCACTCAATTGAGACTTCAAATTGAGTGCTTCGAATTGGGACGACAAAACTGTAAATTAGACGAGTGAACTTGACCAAAGACACATCAAGACGACAACGAGCGGCCTTTGTAATAATCATAATAATTGGAGTGGGTTAACTGTCGCATTTGCCCGCTGTTTTAGATGCCTTGGTTTTGGACATCAAACGCATAAATGAGAGGGATCAGAGAGAAGCAAGTGTTCTAACAAATGCGGCACGGAAAAGCCAAAATCCTTTCTATGTACAGTAGACAAAGAAGACCGGAACAGCGGGAGCCATGTCTCTGTATCGGGGACGTGTAAGGCATTCCGTGTGGCACTTGCCAAAGCCACTAGAGAGCCGAAATGACGCGATTTTTACAAAGAAAACTGAATAGATGTGCCTTGGCGCAAAATATACTGCGCCGACGTACCTTTGAAGACAAGATCGATATCTGCCCTCTCTGCAAAAAATATATGAATATTCAGGATAAATCATGGTTCGCCCATAAATCTGGCACGGCAGCAATATGGATCATAAACTCGAAGGAGACCACCGTCAATGACAATAAAAGCGGAGGGGGTTTCGTCTGGATCAAGACTCACACGACCTACTGTGTGAGCGTCTACCTTTCACCAAATGAAGGCGTGTTTTACTAAAATTAGCGTGTTTCGCCAGAAAGTAGCAAGCATGGAAGACAATATCGGCCAGTTCAACTGAGAAGTCATTGTAGAGGGTGATTTCAACGCAAAATCGGCTGAATGGGGCGCCAAATACTCGGACACCAGAGGAATTGAAGTGAAAAACTTTGCAGCAAGATTTGACCTTACTGTGCTAAATACTGGGAGTATTACAACCTTTAGAAGACCAGGATATTAGGAATCTATCCTCGACATTACGTTGGTCACTCCAAGGACAGCGAATATGATTGAAGAGTATAGTGGCAGTGATCATCAACATGTGACATATAGTATTGGATCTGGTCCGACTCGACCATGGAACTTTTACAAACGGAGGTGGAATGCTAAGAAGCTTGATCCTGAAGCGTTGCGTGCAGTTGATCCAACACTAGGTACCCGCAGAGAGATGGAAGAAACAGTCCTTAGAACTATGAAGCAATTATCACCTCATTTAACGCCTCTATGCCACGACCAAAAAATCAGGGTGTACACAGTCCAGCATATTGGTGTTCATCAGAGATAGCAGAACTACAAAAAAGATGTCATGCACAACGTCGTCGCGCTACAAGAGCTGCAACACGTTCCGCCTACCAAGATATGTATGCAAACGAGTACAAACAGGCTAAGAAGACTCTGAATAAAGCCATAAAATCAGCTAAAGCCGGATTGTGGAAAAAGATTTGGCACGATCTCAACAAAGATTTCTGAGCCTATCAAAGCCTATCAAATTGATACAAAACGACTTGGTAGAGCTTTACCAGAAGCACCAAAATCTCCTGCTCTGATGAATAGCATCGTAGCGGAACTATTCCATAAACACCCACCACGAAAAAAAGACAGTACGTGAAAAACAGTAAAACTACACTCTTCACTGTCAAGAAACTACAAGATGCGGCAAAAACCATAGAGACAGGAAAAGCAACAGGCCCTGATGACATTGCAGCCTAGGTGATCAAGACTGTAGCCCTGCAATTTCCAGATATTCTCCTGAACGCCTACAATGCCTGTCTGGCAACCGGCACTTCTACGGTCTGGAAGCGGCAAATATTGGTCTTAATAGATAAAGGTAAAGGAATCCTTGTAACACCATCGTCGTTTAGACCACTCTGCATATTGCTCGAAAAGCCCATTCAATGCAGAGTGCGCAACGAAGATGGGTCAAATCAAGACCCGAAACGTATGTTCTTTAAATAAAAACATTTTTCATTAAAACTGTTTTTTCAATTACTGGATGGATGCCCAAGAAACAATTTTATTATATTTTATTATATATTTTATTATATATATATATATATATATATATATATATATAAACCGTCAACCGTTGAACCGTGCGGACGTGTTTTTTGAAGTGTCGTAATGTCTCTGACACAATTAAATATTTAGGAATCGGATTCCAAAAAAACCTACAACTGCTGTGAAACAAAACCTTCTGCAAGTGTGGGTGTTTGTAAGAACTGTGGCAAAATTTACCATGTGAGTTGTGCCACAAGAAAAGGTTTTAAATTCATTGTTGGAAATTTGATACAGTGCTGTGAGGTGAGCAGTGAAGTGTCGAGTGACAAACATATGGATACTATTAACAACTTAAAACAAACAATTACCGACAAAAATACCATAATAGACGATAAAATGACAATAATAAAGGATAAAGAATACATAATTCAGAATCTTGAAGAAAAAATTAAGATGCTGCAATTATTAAAGCCAAATGAAAAGAATAAAGAAGTTTCGTCAGCTGCACCCAATATTGATAGTAATACTGAGAAAGCAGCATCTGAGAAAACATATGCCTCTTTCAAGGTATCCGTTGCAGAGAGTGAATTGGAAAGAATAAAATCTCCGGATGTTTGGCCAAAAGGAGTCTGTGTGGACCGTTTTTTATTTCATCTGGGAGAAAAAACGAAGAAAAATTGTTAAACTGGTTTAATATATAATGTCCTTGAACATTCAATGTTTATCCAATAAAACGGAGGCATTAACAAAAGTTGTCCATGACAATAAAATAAACATTTTTTGTTTATGTGAACATTGGCTTGGCAACGAGCAAAATCGACCTATATACGTGATTTTCGGCTAGTCAGCTCATTCTGCAGTAGTATACATATGCACGGAGGTGTTGCTATTTACTGTCGGAAAGCGATAGAATGTGGCGTCGAAATTTACAACAAGCTTCCCAATGAATGGAAATTGAAAAGCAGGAATTGTTTCAATGCGACTGTCAAAAAACATCCTATAGATCAACCTATTTATACAATAAATTAATTCTTTAATCTAAGTTAATTATTAATTGTCATTAGGTTAATCTTGAGTTGTTCATAAATATCACTGATATTACTATAGTTATATTATAATATTGTGATAAAAATAATAATTGTATTGACGTAAATTGTAAATATTGAATTTAAATAAAGTATCTATCTATCTATCTATCTATATATATATATATATATACATTATATATATATATATATCTAATTTTTTTTATTGATATATTGATTTTACTTTTTATGTCAATAAATTAGTATAATAGTTATATTACCTATTCTCTTTCTCCAAAATTGCAGTTGAAGTCTCTAATATACTTTCATCTAAGCTTTCCATATCAAAGCTGGAATCTCCAACAATAGGTATCTTTATACTGTTAATCTGTTTCAATAAATGCCAACAAATTTTGAACAAAGATTGCCAAACAGATAATCATCATTAACGTTATAGATTTATGACTAGAGGCGAGGATAAAGATTTTATTACTATCCGCTCTGCTTGCGTACTTACTCTGAGTGTTGTGATTTATGCAACTGGTCGGAGCCAAGAACCAATAAAGATAAATAAAATATTTGACATATTCTGAGTACAGGACTGTATTTATCTTCTAGATTGAATATTTAAATATTTTTACATAAACAGAAATTGATCCATGTTATTATCTTGTTAAATTAAATAACAAAACACTGCTGGAATTTGATTTTATGTGCTTCGTCAAAAAATAGACACTTATAGTCATAAATCTATAGCAATTATTGCTAAATCAATTACTAGTTCCATTCGTAATTTGATAATGGATAAATAAAACAAAGTTTAATAGCAAGTTATGAACTTGTCATTATCGCACAATGCATTTCGCTCAGCCACCTCGTCCACATTATGCTCCCTTGATTCTACGAAATAAAACTGATGATAAAACGGAAGTCCCTCACGGCACAAACTCTCATTCGTCATTAGCCGATGACATCATTTTAGAATTCCTGATAGTACAGCAAATACACAACTTTTTGGCAGTTTGTACCTACAACGACATACGATTATAGACCCGTAATATGCCAAATCTATTTTATGTGAGAATTGATCTTTAAATTTTCAAAGCAATCATGCATTGTCTGTTGATATTTCAATTTACAATTAGCAAGCATGACGTGGACCAGGTCTACAGCATAGAAGAGTCTTATTTTTTTTACTTTTCTACTTTTTATAAAAATCATTCAAACATTAAAATGCCTCTTAATGTACAGAAATATAGCACAATTACCTTACAGTCCATGAATACTTTGTGTCGATTATTTTTTAGCTTCAATAGATCATTATCTAATTTTTTAGTACTTGACTGCAAAGTTAAGTAGGTCTCTGATATCTCCTTTAGTTGCTGTTCTGCCTAAAAATATTAGAATGTTCAAAATTATATTAGTCGAAGACATCATTTTAAAATGCCTGATAGCACAGAAAATACATAAATTTTGGCAGCTTGTGACTACCACACTATAAGATTATAGATCCGTGGTATAACAAATCTATTTTATCGGGGAATTGGCCTCTAAATTTCCAAAGTAATCATGCACAACCTGTTGATATTGCATTTAATGATTAGTAAGCATGAAGTGAGCCATATGTAAAGTTTTGTTGGTGGCGCATAAAAAATGCTGGAACATCCCGTCTCGTAATGAAATTTTCGAGGAATATTAAATGGTTTCAATAATTATAAATACTGTGTCCTTCATTATTGGATCAAGCGGAGTTAGAATGAAGGATATTTTCTCATATATCTAAGAATTGTATAAACAGAATTGTAGAATTAAAGTTATTTACTTGTTTAAGTATGAAAAAAAGTTTTCGAATTTTAACTAGAATTAAAATTAAAATTCGAATCAATTTTTATATTAAAAAAAGATTAGATTTTTTCTTAAATTTTAGGATGTATATATTTTTTAAATTCCTAAACAAATGTTTTTTAAATCACTCGAATCGGATGCTTTCTTCTCTCAAAAACTGCTATTTTTTACACTTTCAGCCTCTTATCTCTGAAACGACTGGGTCTTACAAGTTGAATCAATCAAATCAAATGCTGTTTTCTCAATTTCCATTTTCTGCACTACTTGCATCATATCTCCGAAACGTCTGGACAGACTTTTTCCAGAAACTTATCAGCACGACTCTCTATCAATATAAAACAATTGTTTTTTGTATCCCAAGTGGAGGATAGTGGCGCCCTAACGGGTCGTGAGATCGGCAGATTGTGGAGAAATAAAATAGCCCTTGTGGACCAGTTCAGACATCGAAGCTAAACAGTAACAGCCATCATACGTGTATCTTTGTAGTTTCGAGAAAGCTCGAAACTACAAGAAACGTCTAAAACTACTCGAGAAAGCGAGAAAGATATGAAACATTTTAATTTTGGATTTATAGCAATAACCATCTTACCCTACGAGATGTTAAACATTACAAAACTAGGTTCATCTAGCTTTAAAAAAAAATATTACGGCACAAAATCAAGTTTTGAGTAGATCTAAAATAATTTTTAAACCCTTAGTACATAAAAGTTTATTTAGAGCAAAGATCAAACATTTTGAAATAAATCCAAAAGTTTCACTTATAAAAATAGTAACGTTAGTGTATACGTACCACGTGAGATTTAAAACATTCTACAATGTAGAATACATGATTTCTGCATATTATAATTTATAATTTAACTAGCAAACCCGACGAACTCCGTTTCGCCACAAGATGATTTCGTGAGAGGTGAAGAATGTTTTATTTGTTTTATATTTGAAAAGGAAAAATTTGATTTTATTGCACAACAGTAATGAATTTATTTCGATTACAAAATGAAGTGTTTTTTAGTTGAGCTTCTCTAAGTAAATGAAAGTGAATCCGCAAATTATCCGTTTCATTAAAGTGCTCTTTGGTAAACCACATTTTTTGTTTTTTGGTCTGACGTTAACACAAACAAAGCGGATGGTTTTCCAACTCGTGAACAGGAAACATATAACTTCCCATGTGAAAAACTATGATTTTTTAAATTTATCCCGCAAACACTAAGCGATTGGCCTTGCGACTTGTTAATTGTCATTGCGAACGCAAGACGAACTGGAAATTGCAATCGTTTGAAGTCAAACGGAAGACCAGTCAGAATCATTGGTATGTCACCAAACCGCCAGCAATTTTTGATTGAATATTGAATGGTGAAATTCAGTGCGTGTACATCATTATTCTTAGCGGCAAGAATTGCTCGTTGAGTTAACCAAGCATAATTCTGATAATTCTCACTAATGTCATTACTCTAATTTTTAATTACGGTGCGTGAAGTTCCAGCAATTTGCATAAAGGCACGATGCCATGCACCACTAATTTTTTTAGCTATGAACCTTGCGGAGCCCGAGACCTTTCCAACGAATGCAAATTGTCGAAATTCGTGCGTTCTGGAGTTATCGTCAAGAAGGAAAACCCGACTTATTTTTTATATATGTAGAAAATCTATTTGAAATTATTTAAAACAATTATGGATTATATCATTACTCGAATTTTAATTACGGTGAAGTTCCAGCAATTTGCATTAAGGCACGATGCCATGCACCACTAATTTTCTTAGCTATAAACTTTGCAGAGCCCGAGACCTTTCCAACGAATGCAAAATCGTCAAAATCGGTTCGTGCGTTCTGGAGTTTATCGCCAGGAAGGAAAACCCGACTTATTTTATATATATGTAGATATGCTATTGTACAATCATATGATTAATTATTAATGACAAATTAAAAATATAATATGACGAAAAGGAGCATGAAACATTTATACCACCTTCACTAAATATTATAGCTATAGTTTTGAACAAATGCTTTTATAATATTACAGCATATTACATATTTGTATATAAAATTTATTAAATTTAACAAGTTTTTTTTTCAACTCATACTGACCTCGTGCAGTTTATCCTTGGCTATTTTTATTGCTGTTTGTTTCTCTACAATAAGTAGCTCATTACCCTTAAGCAGGCTATCCAATCTCAAAAATTGTGTTTTCGTTTTATTCCATTCCATTTCACATCTTGTTAATTTATTGAAGTAGTTTTCAACAACCTTAGTAAGACGATCTACATTAACTGCAATATGGCAAAACAAATCAACTATAAAAATTCTTTGTATAAATAATAGTTAAATCGTAATAAAAACAAATCCGATATTTTTTTATAGAGTTGTTCGCTTTAAGACTTCTAACTATCCTAACATATATTGCATACTGATTGTACAAGTGTATAATTCGGTATCTATATATATATATTATATATATATATATATATTTATATATATTGAATGGTAGAGTCTTGGATTTGTGTATATTTGTATAAATAATAGTTAAATCGTAATAAAAACAATCCGATATTTTTTTATAGAGTTGTTCTGCTTAAGACTTCTAACTATCCTAACATATATTGCATTACATGATTGTACAAGTGTATAATTCGGTATATATATATATATATATATATATATATAATATATATATATATATATGAAGGGTAGAGTCTTGGATTGTGTATATTTTGTAGAGTTTCGAACAAGAATCCAAAAATAATACAAAATAAAAAACAAGAAAAGTTTTTAAAAAAACAATTTCTTTATTTAATTATTTGTTTATTGTCGACGTTTCGGAACTAGGTACGTTCCATCTTCAGGACATCTGTCAAAAACATGATCTTGATGAGATTTTAGCAAACAATATGTTTAGGAAAAGAAAATAGATTTTTCTTAAATAATGAATTAATTGCAAAAAAAATATAATAATGTACAGAAATATGATAATATTTCAAATGAAAATGATAAAAATGATAAAAATAAATGAGTGGATTATCAGAACAGGA